AGTCCACATCTGGTTGCTAAGCATGATCTCCTGGGCTACGTTTGGTGTGTGTGTGTGTGTGTGTGTGTGTGTGTGTGTGTGTGAATTAATTACTTTTCTTATAACTCCAACAAAATCCTTGACAAAGACAACTTAAAGGAGGTCGGCTTTATTTTAGCTCACAGTTCCAGGGTGTAGTCCATCACGGCAGCAGAGGGTGAAGCAGGAAGTCAGTCCCATTACCTCCCCAGCCAAGAAGCAAAGAGGTGAAGGGGATACTCAGCTCAGCCTCTCTCCTTTCGCACAGTGCAGGACCCCAGCCGTGGAATATTCCGCTTCCACTCGGGATAGCTTTTTCCACCAGTTGTCAACTTGGCTACATGGAATCAACTAAAATCCAAGCTGCTGGACACTCCTGCGAGGAATTTTCTTAATCGAATTATTTGAAGCAGGAAGACCCACCCTAAACCTGGGCCGTCCCTTCTGGTGGCAGCCAAGATGGAAGGTCGTGAGGGGAGGAAGCTTCTCCTTCTTTCCTGCTTGCCCTCACTTTCACTGACACGCTGTTGCTGAAGCTGGTATTAAACGCAACTTCTTCAGCATCCCACAGCTGCTCTCCCAGAATCCCCCAGGGACTCGGGACTGCTGGGACATCAGGTCTCATGCACTGAACAACTACCATATTATCAGCCTGAGACAGCCACGTTAGGCTACTGGACCACGGCCTGCAAACCAGCCTAATGAGTCCCCTTTCATTACTGTACACACACACACACACACACACACACACACACACACACACACACACGTTCATTCTATCGGTTTAGCTCTTTTATAGAATCCTGGCTAATACACCACCTCAATTACTCTAATCTAGGTAATCCCTCACAGCAATGCCCACAGGCTTGTCTCTTTGGCGATTCCAGCTCCTATCAAGTTGACAATCAAGATTAAGCGTGACAGGGGATTAGCATTCTCTGATCTCTTCTGATTAATCCTAATCTCTTCTGACTGGCCTCATTAAGCATGTCTTTGGGGTTCACTTCAGGTCTCCTTTCTTCTGGAAGCTTCCTGGGTTGTGCTGGGTGGGGGGAAATGCATTCCCTCGTGCTCTGACCACCCCCACGGCCCTTCAGAGTAAATCAGTTCCCCAGATCTTCCTTGGAGCCATAGTAGGTGCATGGTCCTTACCTGCCCATACGCTCACGGGATCAACAAATGGGCCTCGTGACTTCTCTGTGAATGCTTTTTTAAAATGTATTTTTGTTTTTTGTCTTTGAACACACGTTTGGGTGTAGGCACACTTGTACACGTGTGCGGAGGGTGATATCATGCTGGACGTTTACGTGGGTGCTGGAGGTTAACTTTGGATCCTCATGTTTAAATATTTTATGGTGTGAGCCATCTCCACAGACCCCTGCATGGTTTTTGACTCTCTCTCTCCCTGTGAATCTCGTATAGTTGAGCTTTTTCTTCCTGTGACTAAACAAATCAAAAGAGCACTTTTGTTTTGCTCATGTGTCCTGGCTCTCGGTTTTGGAGGAGCTTTCGGTTTACATTGATTTTGACCAGAGGTGAGGTAGCTGTGGTGCGTGACCCAAGCTCGATGCTTCATGGAAACTAGGAAGCAAAGGGGGGGGAGGGGGTAAGAGAAAGCAACGAGAGGGTGGTACAACAGAACCCATCAGAGTCACTCAAGTCACCGTTTCCTTCAACTAGGGCCTGCGCCCTTCCTCGCCTTCAGGATGGTGTTGACTCTCGATAGCACGTCCAGGTAGGGACCGAGATGCCAGCACATCAACCTTTCTGGGGATGTTTATTCCCCGAGCCATCAGGCCGTTTCCCCTTCTTCCTCATCGTTTCAGGGCAATCTACCTGGATTATTAAGAACAGGACCAAATACTCAGGACCAGGACCAGAGAGATGGCTCAGTAGGTAAAGACTCCTATCGCGGTAAATAAGGATCAGGATAAACAAATAGGCCGAATAGATGTTTATTCAGGGAGAAATAACTTACAACCTAGACAGATGAACACCAGGAAATTCAACCCGATCCTCTCCGAGTCACGCCAGAAAGAGAGCGCCTTTCCTGGCCCCCTCCGACTTCCTTCCACAGGTCACTTCCGCCCATGGCTCCACCCCCCAAGGGCGTGGTCAGTGTCACAGAAGGACTATCTCACTACAGACTCCTGCCACCAAGCCTGATGATCTGAACTGATGATCAGGATGCTCTTGGTGGAAGGAGAGAAATGACTCCAAAAGTTGTTCTTTGACCTCCACAACAGTGTTACCACACACACACACACACACACACACACACACACACACACACACACACACACCCCTAAGTAAATAAACGTTTAAAACATTTCTTAAAGAGTTCAAGGCCAGCTTGGGATATATAGTGAGTTTGAGGTAAGACTGAAATACGGGAGACCCTGTATCAAAAACAGACAACAACAGAAGCCCCCACAAACAAACAAACAAATACAAGGGTCCCAAGAAGGTGGATCAGAGAGCTTGGGAGCCGGCTCAGCTGGTTCAGTACTTGCCGTGTGAAGATCTGAGTTCAGATCCCCAGACCCGGGTTTACAAAAAGAAAAAGGCAGGCAAGACCGTGCACATCTGTAATCCCGGAAGTGGGGAAGCAGAAACAATCTGAATCCGGTAACTCTGACCACCCAGCCTAACCAACTCGTGAATTCCAGGCCCAGTGAACAGCCCACCTCCAACAAATAGGGTGAAAAGGAACTGACCTCTGATGTTCACACACGTACACACATATACACATGCCACTCACACCCCACAATACAATTACCATGGTAAAATACCAGGTTAAAAATTTTGCATGATAGTATTAATTTTTAAGATCTGAACTTTCTGTCCAGAAACCAAGGCTATCAGACATGTAAAAAGACAGTTGCATGGCTGGGTGCTGTGGTGAACAGGTGAATCCCTGTGAAGTTGAGGCCAACCTTGGTCTACACAGTGAGAGCCGGGACAATCGGAGCTTCTTAGGGAGATCCTGTTTAACAATCACACAAATAATACACACACACACACACTCATGCACATACATACACACACACACGTGCACATACACACATACATACCACACACACACACACACACACACACACACACTGCTGTTGATCGCAGGCTTTTAGAGGCTGCAACCCTTCACAGTGAAACAGTGTTTCCTTTCCAGACATTTAGATTAAAATCTTTATAAAACAGATTATCTCATCTCCTAACCATTACAGGCATATTGTTGTTTTCTTTTTTGTGGGGGAGGAGTTGAGTCCACCTCACCATTTTCTGTTATTGTAGGTATTAGTCTAATAGAGACCAATGTTACTTTTGGTTTTGTGGAGAAAATTGTAAAACAGGGGGAAAAAAATCTGTGCACTCACATTTTTAAAACTCGGAGGAATGCTTTTCCACTGTAAAACCAAAATACAGTTGTTACATAAAATGTAGATGCAAGCATGGACACAGTTCTTTCTACCCTTATCATCTGACTGTGTTGGACTGACAACTCAGGGACATTACATGGACACCTTGCAGGCTGAATGCCGGGTACCAGAGGGACTGGAGAGATGGAGAGAGCCCTGATCACGGAGGTTCTTTTATATGAGCTCACAGTGAAGAGACTTTGGGCATTTAAAGCATTGGGATTTTATTTTATTTTTTAATGGTGTGTGTGTGTGTGTGTGTGTGTGTGTGTGTGTGTGTGTACACGGGCATGCACCCACATGCATGAGAGAGTGTATGATGCCCAGGAACGGCACCGCCTTCAATGGGCTGGGTCCTCCTGCTCAATATCACTAATTAAAAAAATGCCTTACAGGCTTGCCTACAGACTTACCTTATGCAGGCGTTTTCTCAGCTGGGATTTCCTCCCCTCAGATGACTCTAGCTTGTGTCGAGTTGACAAAACCAGCCAGCACCTATTATTCTGTTTGGAGTCAGTGGGAGCCAGGTGGTGCTGGGTAGTGAGACAGAATGCAAGCAAAAGAAGATAACTCCGTCTTCTCCACCGGATGTATAGTAGAGGAACTAAATAATAATTAAACAAGGGGTGAACAAACATCGTTCTACAAGGCTGATTAACTGATTCGGGCTGGAGACCCCAGGCTGTTGCAGATCCAGAGCCAAACTATCTTGGGCTGTTATTCCCTCAAACGGTCATTTCTTACCAACCTATTTGCGAACCAACAGCCTTGTGACTATTAGGTAAATTCATCCGGAGACCCCCTCCGTCCTACCAACGTGAAGGATAAGAATGCCAACAGTTAGCATCTGTCCACAACGGAGACCTTCCACTTCGTTAAAGCACACCTACATTGAGGTACACAGCGATGTATTTAAGGAGTGTTCTACGGCTTTCTTTGTTCTGACATTATGAAAACCTCACGAGATTGTTACCCAGTTAGAACCTGGATTTATGATGATTTAACTGTGCTCCCGAGCCACGGTCACCCATTCTCCAGAATAAGTTATCTCTTATCCCCTCTGAGGTGACAGGTGTGTGTTTTCGTGTAGGCACAGCAAATAAAAAGCACTTGGGAACACTTACTGATCTTTTAGATGACCCAGGTTTGATTCCTAGCACCTCGTTCCTGCCTGTAACTCCAGGGAATCATCTGGCCTCCATGGGCGCTGGCAATCACATTCACACTCAGGGACACACACATTCACGCTCATCCACACACACACACACACTCACACTCAGGGACACACGCATTCACACTCACACATACACATTCACACACACACACACTCACAATGCAAATGAGGCCACAGCACTCGCTGTAAGTATAAGTTTGCCTGCCCTTTGGAGGAGCGTAACTTTGCGGATTACGGAGAAGAGGAAATGACACACTTCTGCCAGTGCAGTCCCCCTCAAACTAGCGGCGGTCCGCAGGGAAGCAGGTTTGGTCCCGTAGGAGCCACCGTCCGGCCTCTCCTCGTCGCACTGACTTCTGGGAGCTGTAGTCCTGCATTGCGTGTGTAGCCATCATGGCGGCCTCCTTGGCGGGAGGCTGTAAGATGTCCCTGAACCTGGCCCGGAGCTACCGAGCAGCCAGGCCGCGACTCGCTGCACTCGTGTCTGAGGCCTGCTGTGTCCGCACGGGACCGAGCCGGCTTCAGAGCACCGGGCCTTCCGAACCCGGTGGGTTCAAGCCACCTCCGAAACCCGTCCTGGTGGACCGGCGCCGAGGCCGGGACGAAAGTAGGAGGTGAGGCGGCCGCGGGGGTCTGCGCATGCGCGGGCGTCTGCAGCTCGGCGCTGCGGGGTGCGTGCAGCCCCGGGTGCCTGCTCGCCCTGTGTGTGGGCTGCACGCACTGGAGACCTGGAAGGACGCTGGCCTGGACGCCCATCCCTCAGTTTTATTTGCTCTAGCTTTTCACCATGGTTGCACCTGCGAATGTGCTGGAAGCTCCCTGGGTGGAGTCTGTTGGCCAACGCTCGTGGCGGGGTATTTCTGAGCCACTTAGGTTTACATAGCTAGAGCCTGTTTCGGAACACCCACAACCGGAAAACAAACCTGTTTTCGTGGGGGAAACGTGGTGCGATTATAGGCTCTTTAAAAAGGGTGTGCTTTGCTGCCCAGTGTTGTCCCTGGGCTTAGATATTTTAAATACCCTCAAGTTCTAAATTGAAATCGGCCCGGACTTAGGAAAGCTAGTGATTTTGGAAAGAATTCTTTTCTGATGACCACATTACCTCGTTGGGCTGGGGGAAATAATCTTTTAAAAGCTGGAGAGACGGCTAACCGTTAAGGACACTTAATGCTCTTTCAGAAGACCCTCAGAGCGGCACCACCATCTGTAATTCCAGCTCTGGGGGTCCCAGCACCCTGTTTTTGGTCTCTGAGGGAACCAGGCTGTGCATGTGATGCACATACATAAATGACATAAATACAGGCGCGCGCGCGCGCGCACACACACACACACACACACACACACACGCACGCACGCACGCACGCACGCAAATCTTCAAAAGCTAACAGTATGGACCAGCAGAGGTAAAGGCATGTCTGTCCACTTCAAGATTTGTCTTCAGACCCCTACATGGATGCTATGGTATGCACTCCACCCCCAGCGCACTATGTGTGTGTGTGTGTGTGTGTGTGTGTGTGTGTCACTCTTTAGATCAGGCTAACCTTGAGCTTACAGAGATCTGCCTGCCACTGCCTATTGAGTGTTAGGATCAAGGTAGGCACTGCCATGCTTGGCGAAAGGTTTGCAACTGGTGATTTTTACATATTTTCTCCACGCCTGTAGCTCAGTGTTTGATCTGTGGTCACAGCTTTGCCGACTGAGAAGCATGCAGCTTTTAAACTGTGAAAAAATTGTAACAGGAACAGTAATGTGTCAGTGGTTTATTGTCCTTAAGCTCCAGGAGTTTTTGTTTGTTTGTCTGATACATATGAATGACAGCAAAACCACCGAATTCTCCGAAGATTAGTTTATGCTGCTGAGTTAATCAGCTTAAGGGAGCTATTTACTTTGGCTCAGGGTTTCAACGGTTTTAGTTAACTTTGCTTGGTCCTGGCTCTGTCACTTTCGCCCTGAATGACACAGTACAGCATGGCAGAAAGTATTAGCCGGGTAAAGCAAAAGAAGAAACAGAAAGGGCCTGGGTTTCACCCTGTTCATTGTAAATATGTATACTCTCATTGGTTAACAAAGAGCTGATTGGCTGATGGCTAGGCAGGATTTTTGGAGCAGAGAGAATGGCTAGGAAGAAGAAAGGCGAAGTCTCGAGATGCCATGTGACACAGGGCAAGCAGGATGGGAAGTATGTACATGAGCAGCACATAGATTAATGGAAATGGGTTAACTTAAGTTATAAGAGCCAGCTAATAACAAGCCTAAGCTATCAGCCAAGCATTTATAATTGGGAATATGTCTCTGTGGTTATTTGGGAGCAGGCAGGTGGGACAGAAAAATCCGCCTACATAACATGTTTCCTTTACCGGGCTGCAGTTCTTAAAGCTTCCTAATCCCTGGTAGCATGTGTGCCTTCTTGGACAATGAAGTCCCAGGCCATAAAGGATACTTAGATGCTTTATAAGCTTTTAAATAAATGAACATTAACAGTGGTTTTGGAAACAAGTTTTAGAAATAAGATGATTCCTTATTTAAATTAAATACATCAACGTGTTACCCTTTCTTTTGCAAACCAGCTTTCCTCTCATTTTTAAAATGCCTCCTTTATAGGTTCCTGAGTCCCGAATTCATTCCTCCTAGAGGAAGAACAAACCCTCTGAAATTTCAGCTGGAGAGAAAGGATATGCTAGCCAGGAGAAAGGTGCTTCACATCCCAGAGTTCTATGTTGGTGAGTAAAAACTGGTGTCTCTCAGCAAGTGTTGGGGGATACTTTTCTTTGCAGAGATTATTCAGAGATTATCCAGCTATCTGGATTTTGCTGTTGTTTCTTTCTAACATACTAAGTTATAAACCTTATCTGTGCATTCCTGCATCTCATGTCAGAGCTTGCTTCCCTCCTGACTCTGTAGGAAGCATACTGCGTGTCACCACAGCTGACCCCTATGCCAGTGGAAAAACCAGCCAGTTCCTGGGGATTTGCATCCAGCGGTCAGGAAAAGGGCTTGGAGCTACTTTCACCCTTAGGAACACAATTGAAGGACAAGGTATTTTGTGTTTCCGGGATATTCCCCAAGAGATAGATAACATATGCTTTGCAGTGGGCAGAGGTTTGTTCACTGTTAATGTACTGTTGGAGGGTCTATTTTCTTTTGAAAGCTTCTTTTATTATATGGGCAACACTCAGTTGGATTAGACTTCCTAGGCTGGGCATACTCATACATGGCTGTTATCCTAGCACAAGGGTATGCTGAGGTAGGAAGTTTTGTTTGCTTTGTTTTTAAGTTTAAAACCAGGTTGGACTACATAGTAAGACCCTGCCTGAGTAAACATGGCATCTTCAAGAATATAGGTAGTGTATAAAGCAGTGAGGGAGACTCCTTTTGTTTTATTGTGTTTCTGAGACAGGGTCTTCCCATGTAGGCCATGAATGGCCAGGATTTTGCTATGTAGAGCTGGTGAACCTCAAACTTGAAGGGATCCTCCAGTCTGTCTTCCGAGGAACGTGATTAGAGGGTTAGAGATGTGAGCCTTCCCGTTTAGCAGGATCATCCTTTTTCCGAAGTCCACCGGGACAGACTGGACGGTATCCTCAGCGGTCTGGCTTCTGTGACAAAGGCTCCTGCTTTATATTCTATCTCAGTCACTGAAGTTATTGCTGCACTGTGGATTCCGAGTCAATGCTGAAGAGATGGGATGACTTCTTATACAGCAACATTCAGCTTTTACTTTTTAACTCAAATGGGGTTTAGTTTGCTTTGCTCTAGTAGTCTTCACTTTAGGAATTCCATAGCCTATTTTATTGTACTATGAAGTATTGTAGGAGGCTGGACTTCTGTGGTAAGCATGTTCTCTTTTTAGGTGTGGAGATCTGCTTTGAACTGTATAATCCTCGAATACACGAGATCCAAGTGGTAAAGTTGGAGAAGCGGCTGGACGACAGCCTGCTGTATTTGCGGGACGCCCTCCCCGAGTTCAGCACCTTCGACGTTGACATGAAGCCGATCCCCCACGAGTCCTTCCAGGAAGTGCCTGTTAACGAGGTAGATTGCGTACATTTGCTTAGGGGCAAGTATGAAGGAGCACCCTGCAGAAATCCCGGGGAGACTGTGCATCTCACCCCACCAGCCCAAATTGTATTTCTATTTTCCTTAGCTGAAAGTTAAAATGAAGCCAAAGCCGTGGTCCAAACGCTGGGAACGTCCGTACTTCAACATTAAAGGGATCAGGTTTGATCTGGCTTTAACTGAAGAGCAAATGAAAGAAGCCCAGAAGTGGAGCCAGCCGTGGCTGGAGTTTGACATGATGAGAGAGTATGACACTTCCAAGATCGAGGCTTCGTTGTGGGAAGAAATAGAAGCATCAAAGAAGTCGTGATCTTGGGACCGGTGAGACGGCTCGGCAGCCCTGATGGCCTGAGGTCAGCTCTGGAACCCGGGGTGGAAGGAGAAAACTGACTCCTGGAAGTTATCCTCTGCCTTCTACATGTACACCCTAGCACGTGTGAGCCCGAGCTTGTACACGCATTAAAGTACGTTTTTTTCTGTTAAGTCCTTGTTCTGAGGATGCCTTTAGTTAATTGCAGGCGTATTGGCTCAGGATTTGGTTTGAAAGGCATTAAGTTTGCTTTGTAAGAGCATAGCCGTTAAACGAAAGAGCGCCCCTCACCTTGTTAGTACCCAGCATAAAGTTTGCACCCCAGAGTATGGCTCTAAAATAAGTCACCCAACATCCATTCCATTTTGCAGTCAGTGGAGTCAGCATCAGCAAAATGAGATGTCCTGGGATGTGAGCAAGGGGAGTGGGTAACTGGGAAGTAATCAGATACCCAGCAGTGTGTGCGTTCAGGTGTAATGGTAAGGGCTGTAGAGGTGGACCAGTAGTTAAGAGCTCTTGCAGAAGACCTGAGTTCAGTTCCCTGCACCCAGGGGGTGGGTGGGTGGGTGGGTGTGTGTGTGTGTGTGTGTGTGTGTGTGTGTGTGTGTACACCAGAAAAGGGTGTCAGATTCTCTGGAACTGGAGCTACAGCTGCTTGCGATCCACCTAACACGAGTGCTAACAATTTAACTTAGGTCCTCTGGAAGGACAAACAGTAAGTACCCTTAATCTTAATCACTAGCTGCCTTGTTTGACAGGCTCATTAGTAGGTAGGAAAGGGTGCTGCTGCCTTGCTCTGTGAAGTTTAAAGGAGAACGTGGCAGTCTGATTTCCCCCTCAGAGCTTACAAAGCCACTTGTGAGGAATTCCATGGGTAAAGTGATGAGTGAATCCTGCTGTGCAGAAGACAGCCCAGGAACCCTGGCAGGGCCAGTGTGGATGGCGTGGTGAGTGTCCAGCAAGAGAGTGGTCAGGGTGCTTTTCTTACTCTCCCTGTGGGTTTGGTTCCCAGTATCAGTATCAGGTGGCCCACAGCTTCCTGAGCTCTGGCTTCAGGGGGCTCTGACCCCTCTGGCCTTTGCTGGTCTCTGCATGTAAGTGGTGGTACTCAAAATTACCCAGGTGTATAAATAACCACACATACAGAAACCTGTTTTAAAGAAGTTTTTTCCTTAATAAATTAACAATTACAAATCTGGACTTACTGGCACACTCTCTCACTGAGCTCATACAATCAACCAGTACAGATTTTGGAAGGACAATCTGTTATAAGAAGGTGTTAATCATTTCATAACTAGGCAGTTCACTCCAAGATTTCCTCATTAACTGATCTAACAGCACTGGGAGTTTTAAGACAGCCAGAGCTGAAGATGGGTTTGAGTGGACAAGCTTTTGAGTATCTGTTTCTTCAGTTCCTTCTCGGATTGAGAAAGAGTAACCGCTGTTGTGCACATAACCCTCAGTCACACAGCGGCAGGACAGCCTTTCAGGACACCCAGGTGAGCAGAGGAGGTACCAGGTGCTCATCAACGACTCAACATCTCCCACAGTGCACTCAAATGCCGGAAACTGGGGGCGTGGGGGGCTCCAGGTGATGCTCCTCTCTGAGGGATTCCGCTTGATTCAAAGCTTTTACCTTCATCAGGATAAGAATTATTTCATCGATTTCATTCCTGAAAACAAAAACACAAAACGTTTACTCCCCTCTAATGTAGTAGAGGCTAGAGGTGTATGAGGGGTAGGAAGCCTTTAGCATGGAGTGGGCCCTAAATTTGATCCTTAGGACAAAACATAAGATGAAATAAAATGAAGAGAAACCGTGCTATAACGTGTGAATGAAAGGAATCCCAGTGTGACTCAGGATCCGAAACAGAAGCTCTACCTGTCAGAGTCTAAAACCACATAGAATACATCACTGGGTAAAGTGCTGGTCCATCCCTGTGCTGCAGTGATAGTAGCTATCACGCCACACTGAACATGTCACATGCTCTGCTGCTGCTGTCATGACTAAACACACTGATAGTTCCACAAAAGCACAGCACATACAGCTGTGCACATCACACAACACTGGACACGGACATGTACATTACAGCCTGTCTGTAGCAGCCTGTATTATCTGTATCTATTTGCACACGCATACTGTAGCAGACATAAAACAGCCCAATGACGTGTTTCTTAGACTGACCCCTGTTTCACATGCCTCATGACTAATTGCAAAGTTCAAATACAGAGTTTTCTGGAAAGTTCGAATGTGAATGGAAATAAAAAGCAGAACACAGAGCAAGCCTGTTTCCGGAACCCCCAGGCACTCCGCTGCCAGCTGGGTGAAATGACCACACCAAGACCTCATCAACACTACAGAAGGGTTCCAGGCATGCACCATGATGCCTGCTTTATGAGCTCTTAGATTGAATGCAGAGCCTTGGGCTGCTAGGCAGACGCTCTGCCAGACTAGCTACATCCCTAGTACCAGACTTCAAAAATTATAGTAACAGTGCAAATCTTCCTTAAAATGGCTGAAAGCATTCAAGATCCTTAAAGTATGCTTTGGAGATGACAATTTAAATGAACCTTACCTGAATTCACTCGAGGACAATTTATGTGCAAACTGCAACAAAACCTGAACGAAGTTTTCCAGTTGGGGAATGGATGCCCTCATAGCAGAGCTCTCAAACCACTTTTCTGGCAGACACTCTGCTATCTGTCAGGACACATGGCAGGTTACAACACAAGAGCAAAGAAAGTTTGAGGGTTTTTTTTTTTTTTTTGTTTGTTTGTTTGTTTGTTTTTTTCCTGTGTCAAAGGTAACGACATAAAAGAGATCACTCTTCAAGGGCTGGAGAGAAGGCTCAGTTGGTACCAACACTGGCTGCTCTTCCAGAGGACCCAGGTTTGATTCCCATAATCCACATGACAGTTCTTCACAAGCTACATGAATAAACAGGTGACTCCAAATAAGTTGAATGGAAGAAAATCAACGACAGTTTGTCCTTTACCAGTGTGCTTTCTGTGTCCACAGAGGTAAAAGAGTCCAATGTAGTGAACACAAAACAAAACAAAATCCTCCAAAAATAACACAAATTGGGAGAAAGAAAAAAAAAAAGTTGAAAAAAAAAAAAAACCTACTTCCTCATAGCAACAAGGAGAAGAGGAAAATACAGAGTCCTGGACAGTCATGCAGGGCACTGGTAAACTTTAAGACTAGGATTTGTAGAAAGGAGACAGCAACAGCATCCAGCACGCACTGTAAGGGAATACAAGCCCTGGAAAGCATCTTACTGACGGGGCTGGGTGTTGCTGGATGTGTAGGTGGCTGCAGAAAAGGTGCTTATAGCGTGTGGGGTTCGAGTCTGACTCAGCAGCACCATCAACAAAAGCAATACAAGGCTAGGAAAACGGACTTACTGTATTGATCTTTAATTATTGAGGAAAAATGTAAATGAAACTGCAGAAGGCAGAGGCATGGAAGATTCGCTTGTCAAACTGTTCCCCAAAGTGTTGGAGCCCGTCTTCACTGACCTGGAACTTAGTGCCATTTGTCCCTAATACCCAGTGCTTAGCTATCTTACGAGTGTCTGGAAGTTCTCATGGAGCCAGCAAGCCTGTCCATATGAAGTGGGACCATATTCTGCAAGCCCGTGGTCTGCTCAAGCCCTACTGTGGAGAAGCTGTGTACACACACTTTGCAGTCAACCTGAAAACATTCTAACCAGAATACTGATTCTTGTTTCAGAGTAGCTTCTGGGTTCTGCTCTGCTAAACTGATTTGTTTATTCATGTGCGAGCTCCACAATTTTAATTATTTGGTTGTAATATAGATTTCAATAACTAAATCTTTAAGATTCATTCATGTCTCTGCGTGTTTATGCAAGTTCCTCAAGAGGCCAGAAGAGGGCACTGGGTTCCCTGTCAGTGCTGAGGTTACAGGGGCTGTGAGCTGCCCACAGAGGGAACTATGCGCTAAACTCAAGAGCAGTCTTAACTCAGACCCTTCCTTGGCCCTAGTACCTAACTCTGTGCCGTTGCTGCTTTGAGAGGGTCTCACCTTGTAGCCCAGGTTGGCCTGGAACTTGTAACACTTCTACCTGAGCTTCTTTAGTGAACGTGTTACCATACTGAGGTTTACATACATTAAAGACAGGATTAGAACTGGCTTCTATACAGCTTACCTGGCTGCACTTTTTAACAGCATCTGGTCCAGGGATGGCATCAGTAAGAGCAATAGTAAGATAGCGATTCAGCAGCTTCCCCAGTCCTAGATCGTGCAAGATATCATCCGGGAGAAGCCCATTCCAAAGAAGAATATTGCGGAAGAGCTGAAAGAAGATACCAAGTAAATATGCGTGTTCTCCCTGCAAACTGCAAATAAATACATAAATAAAAAATGGTCAAACTCCCCGACCCTCACCAGTTGGCCCTGCTGTAAATTTCAGCTCTGGAAAACATCCCAAGTAAATACCTGATTCTCCCCTCCATATTTGCTCATCCTATTTCCATTTTGAGGGTAGCCAACCCCAATATGTCCCGTGTAACTCCAGTGGAGCCTCTCTAGATCAGTGCCCCACTGTGACCCGTCATCTCACCGTCTGGGGCCACGAAGTTAAAGAGTGTGGGCTGCCAGGGTCAGAGAGCATTGTCAGGGCCAGGGCCAGGGCCAGGGCTAACGTGTGCCGCTGCAGGCTGGCAATGCCAAGAACCCCGCTGCTGATGTGCAACACAGACAACCCAAGAGTCTGCTGACAGCAGGGGTGACTATCCCATGTAAGATCTACAACCACTGCTTGTGTTCAGGGGGCTGATTCCAGAGATTTCTGCCACTGTGGTGAGGGCGCTGGGTCTTGTGTTCTGAGTGCTGAACGACAGACATTTGGGTCAGGGACGCGCCACACCCTACACTGTCATTGGCATCACTGCCTGTCCTGGAAAGCATCTTCCCTGACCCTAGCCACGACACACCTTCACTTACTGCACTGAAACTGCTCCTGCTAAGGACATTTATGCCCTAATTCTCAAACACAATGGGCATCTTCGCCACCCCCAAGCCTTCACCGTGGCATTTACTACTCATTTTCATTCCTGGGTCCCTTGAGGCACAAAGGTTCACGGTTCATTATAAGGTGCATCTGAACACCCCCACCCCACCCCCACCCCTCAGACTCCATCCCTGGTCTCCTCAGAACTTCTCACTCCTGGCCGAAGATTGCCCATGCATACCTGATGCCAAACTCTCAGCTCGGCCTAAGCCCTGGAATTGGGACTTGCACGTCACCTGGGCCGTGCTCCATCTCCACAGTGCTGTGTGGTTCACTACACCCAAAACAGATTCCACGCTCTCTCCCTGCATCTCCTACAATGGCTAAGAGTGACATAAGACCGGGTGCCAACATCAGGCACCTGGCTACAAGAAGCCTGCGTCCTCACATGACATAAGTCAGCAGTGGAACCCCCCTGATGCTTCACCTGAAACGTCATCTGAACTCATCTCCTGTCGTATCTACCTGCACTGAGTTACTCTGGTTTTAACTTTAGCTTTCCAGGCAGGGGGAAGCCAGGTGTGACCCGAGATTAAATTCAGCCCAGGGCCCATGAGACAAAAACTGCTTTCACATTGTTAAAGGACATTTAAAAATACTAAAAAAAAAAACAAAACAGAACAAGGCTGGGCATGGTGGCACATGCCTACAATCCCAGGACACAGGAGGCAGAGGCAGGAAGGCCTATTATGGGGTGGAAGACCAGCCTGGACTCCATAGCAAGGGCCAGGCCATCCAGGACTATACAGTGAGGCTATGTCTCTAATAAATAAATAACTAATTAAAGCTAAATACAGCATACTTTAATATGTGAAAGTTGTGTGATGTTCAAAGTCCAGTGTTGATATGCACAGCTTATCCGAACAGCAAGTTCATTTGTTTACATACTGACAGACCGTTAGTGTTTTTATACTATAGCGGCAGAGTGGAGTTCAACACGTACTGTAAGGCTGCAAAGATTAATATAGATGCATTTAAAAAAATAGTTCTCTGCTTACCTTTAGAGCTCCCCAGAACTGTCTTTCTTGGAACTTTGAATGTGGTGACCTTTTTCCTTCTTCAGAACTAATTTAAAACAAACGAGGAGGAGGGAGGGTAGGAGAGGAAGAAGAGGGAGAGGAGGAGGAGACATCAAGGACTCTTTCAGAATGAAACTGCAAGAAATAGGACTTTTTGTTGTTTGTCTTTGTTTTGGATTCTGTGTATATTGTCTGTGCGTGGTTTGTGCACATGGAGTGCCAAGTGTATTGCCTGCAGAGGGTGGAAGAGGCCATTAGAGCCCCTGGAATTGGAGTTACAGGCATCTGTGAGCTGCCCAACCTGGGTGCTGGGAATTAAACCCTATTCCTCTGGAAGAGCATCACACTCTTAACCACCAAGTGTTCTCTCCACCCCCTATTGCTTATTTTTAATTAAGTAAATGAACGACCTAAATGGAAAATGGATCAAGGTACTCTGACGCTATCTACCAAGGATTACAAATGCATCCACACCAGCCAACAGTGAGTTCCAGAAAGTGCATCTTGTAGATACGATTGCCTTTGCACACAAGTTTGCTTATAACCTCGTTGTTGGTAAGAGATTGCCACTCACATGCTGGTCAGTTACAGAGCATCTACATGCCTACTGTGCAGTTGAAAAACAAATGAGAAAGTTACTCACATGATGACATGAAACGACTTAACTATGCACTAGTGAAGGAAGCTTTTCCCTGCTTATAATATACTGCATCTTGTGTAGGCGGGGGGAATGAGATTATATATGCGATAAATGGCAACATCTGCAGTCAGAAGTCACAGTGAGATAAATAATACTCCTATTAGGGAACTGGAGAAATAGTCCAGCAGTTAAGAGCACTTGCTGTCCCTGCAGAGGACATGGTTCGGTTCCTGGCCCCCACAGTTGTGTGGCTCACAACCGCCTGTAATTCCAGCTCCAGGGGATTCAATGATTTCTTCTGATCTCATGTGGTATTCATACATAGACACAGGCAAATGCTCACAGTATATAAATCTTAAAAACAAACACCTTCTTCATTTTGAAGATCCACTCGATTTTGATCAAAAGGCTCAGAATTGATTGCTTTAAATATAAATAAGCCACGCACATACTTTGAACTATTTACCTGAAACAGTATAAAAACAAATCTTACTGGGGCATCATTTTTATTTGCAGATACCTGACTCAGATCAGGGATCTCCAAGCACACCCCCACCCTCCCCAACTTCCACCTTGGGAGTATCATTGACTAGCTAGAGTTCACAAATCATCACTACCCAGAAGGCTTTCTTGGCAAGTATGTGGCCATAAATCAAGGCCGTATTTCCTAGGACGAAGAGAGTTCACAGCTGCGTCCACGATGCTTTGGGCCGTGCTAAGCTGCCTCTGTACACGGCACTGCTCTGCCCTGAGCCCTGCAGTCACCACCCTGCCATCCCGTGGGGTAGCTGCTGATTTCTCCCTCCTTGTTCTGACAATGACACAGCAAGGGTCCAAGGTCAAACAACCAACAAATAGCGGAGCTAAGAAGCTGTGCTCTTTACCTCTGGGCTACAACCTCCTGACACTAGGGTAAATTTAAAAACAAGAAACGCTCAAATACATGATGTTCAAGGGCTGAGCATCTTATGTGGTGCAGAGGAGATTTAGAAAAATGTATGTGGAAATCTCAGTTTGTATCTTAAAACCGTGTGTGCATTAGGTCTAGGAAAGTCTATAGTGTCTTTTGCATTACATCTTTAAACAAATCTGTATTCTTTCAAGGCTAGACAGGATGGCACATGACTCTAAGTCCAGCATTTGGGAAGGGGAAGCAGGAAGACACACAGTACGATGAGGAGATCAAGGTCATTCTCAACTTTATAGAAAGTTCAAGGATAGCCTGAGCTACATCAGGGTGTGTCTTACACCACCCTATCCCCCCCCCCCAAAAAAAAGCTATTTCCAACAATATAAAAATGAAGAGCTCTTACCTCTTTGGATATAGAGGAATAAAAACATCATCTTCTATTGACTTCTTAATTCTTCCAACAACAGATTTAAGTAAATCCTGTTTTAAAAATTGAAAAGCGTCAACATGCCGTAACTGGAAACACAGTAACCAAATCAGGTAACTTTAAGGGTGTACACTGGTCTGCAGTCAGAGCCAGCTGTTACAATGTTGCAATGCCATAAGAAACTTAGGAGTCGCGTGTGGTTGTCACTGAGTCACTTTCAGGGCTATACATTTTGCTGCATGAGTACTACTCATCAGACACTCAATGGCTTCCTATTAAGGGGTCCATTATGCTATAGAATACCTAGCAGGGAGTCTCTTGGTATACACAAGGATAGTTTAAATAGGTATATACACTGAAATGGAATTGCTGGAATATAGCTCATGACCGTATATTCAACTTTGTACAGAATGATACTAAGATGGTAGTATCTGGTACTAGAAACCCAGTGGCTAGGGGGATCACAGACCCTAGGTGTGACTTCCCCAATATGGTTTAGTGAATTGATGTGGCATAAATCTGCAGCCTGGTGTTTTTTTTTTTTCCTCCCTGAGACAGGGTTTCTCTGTGTAGCCCTAGCTGTCCTGGAGCTAGGTCCTGTAAACCAGGCTGGCCTTGAAGTCACAGAGCTCCACCCGCCTCTGCCTCCTGCGTGGTGGGAGTAAAGGCGTGTGCCACCACAGCCTGGTGCGCTCCTCATTCTTGACCGGAGAAGCTTGTCTTTCAGTAAATGGGGGTGAACGCAGAGACCCGTGCTCAGCTCCGAATCGGACACTTACAGCACTCTAATTTCAGGCAAAAGGAGCGCCGTGGAAGAGAGTGGGAAGGATGTGAGGACAGAAGACAGGAGAAGAGATGGCACGGCCATGGCAAACAGGGCTCCTCAGCAGCAGGGGCCGGGAGGTCAAGAGCCAGTCATGGGTTGGGGAGGTCATGGGGTCTCACCCCTCTTGATGAACAACTGGCAACTGATGGATCCTGGGGGAGGGGCAATTATTGGAGTCTATCAGGCTGCAATAGACAGTTCCAAACCCATGGCTACACGACACACAGTCCTGGTTAGAATCACATGGTCACAAAAGATGTGGACACAGGACTGACCTTTTCAGAGGAGGGGGGGTGACAGGGAGATGAAGGGAGTGGGGGGTGAGAGGAGACAATGCATCATATACACATGAAACTGCCAAAGGACAAATTTAACCAATGGAGGGAAAAAGGAAAACAAAACTCAGTAGTGGTACCGTTTGTTTGTAGTCCTCCTGGCTGTGCCAAAGAAATCCTGTTTTCTTCCAAGCATGGTGGCACATGCCTCTAACCCAACACAAGACATGCAGCTCTCTGTGACTCCAGGCCACTCAGGGTCACACACCTCCTATCCTTACTGCTCCTGCTTCTCTCTCTCTCTTTCCTGAAGAGCAGTGCGACACTGGGAAGCTTCTCATAAAGCACCACATTAAGCTATTTGTCTAAGTTCTGTTTTTTACAGCAGGACCTGTCCTCTCCATCTGAACCCTACAAGCCTTTCCTATAGGGTAAGTGTGGGGCTTTGCTGGCTTGTCTGTGTCCTTTGACACGGTAAGTTCACACTGGATAATTCATTTGGTTTGTTTATCAACAATTATAAATGATGCAAAAATTCAATTCAGTAATTCAACTTAAGGACATTATATTATACCCATTGATGGGATGAAACAGTAGCTAAAGCCCCTGACGACTGTATATACGAACATTCAGATTCATTAGGATAACGGAGACTAAAGGCTGGGTGAAAGTATCCAGCCCTAATTACCACTATCTCAGGATGAAGAGGGATGGAATTTTAAAATATCCCAGGTTTCAGTAACACTTCTACAGTGATACATTGATCTCATGCTTGGAAAGACTCCATATTTGAAAACTGAAATCGAATTACACTACCAATGAAAAGATGCCATGTGTAGCACAAATTAAACTGTTACATAACCTATACCAAGAATATTGTCCACAAATGTACAGTTCAGGCAAGTGCATTTTTCTATAAAAGCACACTGAACGAAAGGAAATTTTCTACTTAATTATATGTAACATACTTTAAAAGCCCAATGCCAATACTTAGAACATCAAAAACAAGACTCAAATTTTATCTTACCCCATCTTTTAAATACTTTGAATTCTGTCTTAAAGAGAAGGATCACCTTCTAGGTAATACCTCCAAACAATAGAACCTGAGGTCGTATAAATTATTTTATTTACTTTTTGTGGTACCGGGGATTGCACTCAGGGTCCCACGAATGCTAGGCAAGCGCCCTACCGTTGACCTAAACCCCGAACCTGCAGAAAGAAGTCATTACCTGTTTGCTCTTCCTGACTTCATTTCCAGAAGCCACCTGTTCAAACAGCAGTCTGCAGTGCACTGTTAAACTTCTCGTCTGTGAAGCTGACAGGGGATCCCAAATGAACTCTACGAAATCTGAAACATCCCGTGGTTACACAAGTTACACAAGTTACTCCGTCGTTTGCTTCTCGTGTGCAAATAACCTAGGTCTTTAGCACACCCCGTCCCACACTTTACTGAGGTTACAACCCATGGCCAATCACGACATTTCCTATTTACATGTAATTTCTATTCATTATCATTTCCTTTTTGCATACACCCCCAATTTCTTTGTCCTCCTTTGGTTTTGCTAAGCCTGTCGGGTTAACCTACAAGCCTAGCTAAATTCACTCCCTCACTAACAGTGTCTGCAATCCGCAGCTAAAATGCAGGTTCAAAGAAAGGTGTACCACACCAAACTTAGCCAAAATCTAAGTAAGTGAGCCTGCATGTCAGGATTGCTTGCCCTGGCCTGCTAACTTTCCTCCTGGTCCTCACCTCAGCTGATGGATCGCTCCATTTCCTAGCTCTCCCTACCCTCATGAGTATGGATACATGTTCATACGTGTGAGTACTTGATTGCGTGTGTGCATGCATGCGCTTACCAGGTTTTTATGTAGGTTCTGGGGATCTGAACTCTGATCCTCACTATTGAGTATAAGAATTTTAAACCCTGCACTGTCTCCCCAGCTCCAACAATCCCCAGACCTTCTCCAGTACTGTTGACCATTCCCTTTCCTTTTACAACAAATGCCTCAAAGTACAGTCTAGATGTCTCTCTGGTATTTCCCTCTTTCTAGAATCATCACAATCAGGCTCCAGGACTCTTTACAGAGTGGCGAGCGCATCTCTCAAGCTAAACAGGACATGTGCATAGCCAACTCCAAAGACCGATTTTAATTTCTGTGTGGCTGCTGTCTTTCTCCCTGGAAATACTTTCTTCGCTTGGATTTTGGGACACTGTCCTCCTGGTATCTTTCTCCGGACTGTGCTGGGTCCTTGTCACTTGTGTGACTTTTAAAGGACCTTAGGACTTTCCTTCTCATCCTTCTTATTCCACGTCACTTTGTAGCATCAAATGCCATCAAAACACAGCTACTTCCTGCCTGAATGATGTACTCGGCACCCCCCGACGCTCCACTTAGTGACAGGGACCCAACGCGGCAAGCCCAGCAGAGCTCCACTCATCACATCTACTCGGAATTGCCCCTTCAGGGTCCCAATTCAGGAAGAGGCGACTGAGTCAAAACCATGGGATCATTCTCGATGTTCTCGGGCTCCCCCGCCCCAGGATGGGTCCGTCAGCACACACTCGAGTGCTGTCTCCAAACAGACAGAACCAGCCGCTACAGGGCCTGGGCCGGCTGCGCTCATCTCTTTCCTGAGCCCCCTACTCGTGGGATGGTCGGCTCAGGCAGAAGAGTTTGGACATTTTAAAAGTAAAATTCATTGTTCAGAGGGAATAGCTATCTTCAAAGTTCAACCGAGTTAAACTCATTCCCCGGAAGATGGTGAAAAGGTTCTGGTCAAATACGTCTTGGTGAAAGCAGCCTTTATGGACAGAAGACATCATCAATAGCTGCTGATAGATAGCAAGCGCATGTGAAATGCTGGGCTCTCAAAAACTGAGACATGGAGGAGAAATGTAAGGAAAGTGAGAGAAATATACGTAACACATATGATAGATAGCCTCACAAGTGACTCAGGGTCCCACCACTACTGGTGTGGACAGCCAATGTTTGCACAAATACGCGGCTCCCAGTCAGGTTATTTACACTGCTCTTCAATGCAAAAAGCATCCCCCGCGTCTCCAAACCTCCACCAGGGTATTTGGGATTAAAAGAGAATCAAGATTACCTGTGAGGCGAGGCACAACTGTCTTGTTGATGACAGCAGACAAAATGTTTTTGTCAGAACCATCCTCCTTCCTAGTGTCTTCCGCGCTACCATCCATAAACTCTTTTACGGATGTGAACCAGGGCATCCGGTTTAGAGCCATGGAGTCCAACTATAAAAAGAGATTATAGAAGTTACACATTCTTAAACATGTGTGTTTTCGAAGTTGACTTTTCCCCAAAATCCCTACAGTTCTTGTGAAAGTCAAAGAGAAACACACTCTGGTTTTAAAACTGTGTAAGCAGCACTAGACTACAGAAAGAGGCAGGGTGGCGTGGTCACACAGCATCAGGGAAGAGACTAAATACTGTGCTCTGTGCATTTGTCCACACTACACAAATGCAGCCCAGATGAGAGCCAGGACACTCAGAGACCAGCACTGCAGCGGCCTACAGCGGGAAACGTGCTAGATTTACTGATAATTCACTCATCTGCCTCAAGCAAAACTACTTCAGTCCTTTCATTTCTCCTAGGGATAAAAGTGTGACCTGCATGTGGTTTAGCTTATGCACCAGTCAGCAAACAGCAGGCGGCTGTTACCGCTCGTGTGGATGAATGAAATACCCTGAATGGTTAACCCGAGGTGCTGGCCACACAACTCCCTACGGTTCCTGAGACGTGACCCTGCTCTACTCTGGGAAGTGGTGTGGTCCCACCGAAGCCTGCAGACAGACTACTAAGGCCAAGGAAGGGACACACTGTGTCATTTACTCTGTCAGCCCTCGCTGAGAGCTTCCCTTATGGAGTTTGTTCTCTAGCTCGCAGGATCCAGGCCTTGGGGTGTCTTTCACGTGCGGAGGGTTAGAGCTACTCTGTATTTTACTAATTCCCACTTTATAACAGTGCTTACAGCCCAGGACAGCCTTTGCTGGGCTTACCCTGAACTTGGGTTATATCGACAGTCTTCTATATTTTATTTCTTCTTCCAAGTTAGCTGCTTATTTAGTAGCTCACTAAAACATTACTTTCAAGTCCCTGAGATGACTCAGTAGGTGAAGGCACCTGCCGCCAAGACTGATAACCTAAGTTAGATCCTCGGGGCTCACGTAGCGGAGAGGACCAATACCCACACGGTGTCCTCTGAGCCCTAGGAGCAGGGCACAGCATGTGTACACCTTGGCACGCACGCACGCACGCACGCGCACACACGCACACACACACACACACAGACAAATGTAATAAAACATTTTTTCAAAAAAACCCCACACTACCTCCCTGCATGACTTTGTATATTATTTTGAAAAACTGGCTCTCAGCTCTGAACCCGGGTCTGAAGGCCAGCGTGCTCCCCCTGGACTGGGAGAGGTCCCCCCTTTCAGGGAAGTGTCCTCCTCGTGAGCCCCTGCACACCCCTCAGGCCCCGCCTCCTCCACCTCGTGCTCTGCTAACCAACCCTTCCCTCGCTACCATCCCCGACTTCATAAACCCTTGCGATAGGTTTTCCAGTCAAATTTACCAAACCTAATGCTACATAAATCCAGGGAAACTTACAGTTTTAGGTAATATTTAGAGCCTTGGAACAACTGTCCAGAAATGAATACTGCAAACTACATTCCCAGGGACTCTTAACATTATTTTCCTTTTTTATGATGTTGGGGTGAGACCCAGGGCTCAATCAGTGAACCATTAAGCTACACCCCCAGCCATCTTGCTTGAGTCTAAAGTATAGTATAGTAAGACCGACCATCAGCAATTCAAATGTGTTTTTAATACTGTTATAACAGATTTTAATGATGTTCATTTACTTATTTGTGTGTGTATGAGTATGTGTTGTGTGTGTATGTATGTGTGTGTGTGTGTGTATGAGTATGTGTGCATGAGTGTGTGTGTGTATGTGTGTCAGAGAACAACTTGTGAAATTTAGATCTCTCCTTCCATCCCATGAGTTCCAGAGTTTGAACTCAGGTCAGAAGCCTTGGCAGCAAGCACCTTTACCTGCTAAGCTACCTTGCCAGGCTGAAGTTTCTATATTTCATAGTTAGCCTGACGGCCAGGGCACACAAATGGCTAATGGGACCAGGACAGTCACATGTTAAGCACTGATACCTTCAGAGGATTCCAATCAAGCAACTGAACTCGAATCAGGGGACTTAAAAGCTTTGGTAAGCAGAAACCAACGAAGGCTTCGTAGTAGGAATCGGGATACTTTTCTCGCCACTGCTGAAATTTCAATAAAATATTCTGGACGTTACAAAAATCATCATGCACATCTTCAAACACTTTCTTACAATCCTGTAAAATGTCACCTGCAAACAAAGTAAGTCCCTATATGTTATTCGTTTTAAGCCTGCTTCCTTACCAACAGCTAGTTATGACTTACTGTTTAACCCGCTGGGCTGGAAACTTCATTTTTTTTATACATTTATTTTATTTAAAAAGTCACTCTAGTAACAAAAGTGATAGTATTGACACTAATAGAGCCTACCATGTATTGAGTCCCTGTCTATATGCCAAAATATATAACATTTACTGTTTCATTTCATTACCATAGCCATCTTCCCTTTAAGGTAGAAAAACCCAGATTTAAATAAAACAAGCAAGCAAAGGACACTGAACAGAGGTGGGCAAGAAAAAAAGCTCTTTTCCACTGGGTCTAGTGAACAGCAAAGCCCAGAATCTTTGAGCTGCACTATGAGCCTTCTTGGGTCACCTCTCAGCAGTGCTCAGACATGGGAGAAAGCTTAACCAACTGTATTCAGGCACAGTGTTAGAACCCAGAATTCACAAAGACACACAGAGATCAAAAAAACAAGGAAGTAAAACTGCCAATCAACACATGAGGTAATAACTCAACACTTTCAAAGGAAACACACGGCTAAAACAATTTTAAATCTCCTCAGCATCCCCAGTCATCAGGGAAGCACAAATTAAAACTACTTTGAGATCCTCCCTCACTCTAGTCAGAGAGGCCACCAAGGAACCCAAGAGTAAATGTTGGAGACGATGTGAGGGAAGAGGAACCTTATTCATGGTCAGTGGGAGTGAAAATTAACAAAGCCAAAAGGCAATCAGTTTGGATGTTCCTTAAAAAGATTAAGACTCAGTGACCCAGCTACTTCACTCATGAGCTCATACCTACAGAACCCTGCACCCTGTCACAGAGAAACCTGCACACTCTTGCCTTTTGATGCTCTATAAGAGAGGAAATGGAAGCAACCAAGACGTCCATCAACACACAAACGGACACGGAGAACCTGGTGCATATATTAACATGCAATACTAATGGATGGATGGATAATATCCCAGAAAGAAAGACACTTCATAGCCTTCCTCCTATGCAGACCGTGGCCTGTACTGCACATGTCTACATGGAAACAAGCGAAGGGTAAGTACAGGGTAGCATGTAGAAAGGAGAACAAGGAAGGGTTATGCTAGGGGGTAAAAATGCAGGTAAAGGGTACACAGTCACGAAAGGGCCGAAGGCTGCTTGCTTTCCTAGTTTCAGTTCTGCCAGTTTCTTCGTGTGTGTGTGTGAGTGTGTGTGAGTGAGAGAGTGTGTGTGAGTGTGTGAGAGAGTGTGTGAGAGTGTGTGTGAGTGAGTGTGTGAGAGTGTGTGTGAGTGAGTGTGTGAGAGTGTGTGTGAGTGTGTGAGTGAATGTGTGTGAGTGTGAGAGAGTGTGTGTGAGTGAGAGTGTGTGTGAGTGTGTGAGTGTGTGAGTGTGAGTGAATGTGTGTGAGTGAGAGTGTGTGTGAGTGTGTGAGAGAGTGTGTGAGTGTGTGAGTGTTTGAGTGTGTGTGTGTGAGAGAGTGTGTGAGAGTGTGTGTGTGAGAGAGTGTGTGTGAATGTGTGTGTGTTTGAGTATTGTGAGTGAGTGAATGTGTGTGTGTGTGTGAGAGTGTGTGTATGAGAGAGTGTGTGAGTGTGTGTATGAGAGAGTGTGTGAGTGTGTGTGAGTGAGTGAATGTGTGTGAGTGTGTGTGTGTGAGAGAGTGTGTGAGAGTGTGTGTGTGAGAGAGTGTGTGTGAATGTGTGTGAGTGTTTGAGTATTGTGAGTGAGTGAATGTGTGTGAGTGTGTGTGTGAGAGTGTGTGTATGAGAGAGTGTGTAAGTGTGTGTATGAGAGAGTGTGAGAGAGTGTGTGAGAGTGTGTGAGTGAGTGAATGTGTGTGAGTGTGTGTGAGTGTGTGAGAGTGTGTGTGAATGTGTGTGTGTGCACGCGTGCGTGTGTACACAGGCATGGTGGATAGGTAAGTAAAAGTGTAGTGGAAAGAATGAAAAGCCTAAGTATTAGTACCCTGCTCTTAATTCAAGATCCACCATCTTTCAACACTACTGCGAGACCCCTCCCCCCCCCCCCCCCCCCCCCCCCCGTCCCCCAAGGCTGCATGGAACAACGGTGCTCTAGGACAGGCACACTGGGCCCTTCTTAGTCTGCCCAAAGGAGCATCTATACCTATTAGTAAACGTTTGCTACCAAACTGGAAAAAGGAAATGTAACTGATAACGGAAGTGCACAACCCCAAGGAGGCTCCAGGCTAAGTGCGGAGTCCACTGAGATGCATAGTTGGGAACTTGGCAAATGTATCTGTTTTGAGGATTTGATTTAATGCAGCTTCATGATGCTTTTAACCTGAGTTCATTACATTAAAGTGATGTTTTAAAAGTGTTTTTGTTAAATTACCGGTTTTAAATTACAAATGGTAACAGGTGACGCCAACATGCTCTCGTGTCACCCGGGAGGCCGCAGAGAGCCTGCAGGTGCCAGAGCACGCACATCACCCCTCTCTGGAGGCAGAAGTCTGATGCAAAGTGCTTTCTTGAATTTTCCCGTTTCAGTAATACGGATGTAAAGGCACCTGCAACAATGCCAGGAGATGGTGGTGCGCACCTTTAATCCCAGCACTCGGGAGGCAGACAGAGCTCTGTGAGTTCCAGGCCAGCCTGGTCTACACAGCGAGTCCCAGGACAGGCTCCAAAGCTCCAGAGAAATCCTGTCTCAAAAAACAACAAACAAAACCAGGCACCTACAACAGCTCTTTCTTCAGTATTTCGTCACTTCTAAGCACGTAAGACAACTGACCTTGGCGTTTCTGGAAGTTGGTCACCTCGGCAGGAGACAGTTCATCGTCACTAGACGTCCCCTCCTGATGGTCACAGTTGCCAGAGAGAGCCCTTGCTTGTCTTCTCTGCATCCTGCATTGTGCAGTAAAGTAAAACAAAAGCAAACAGTTCCTATGAAAAACACGAGCAGTGCTATTATCTTTCACAGACCCATCGCCATACTGCCGCCATTCATTTCAGGAAACTATCTCAGACCCTTTGTTCCCTTAGCTTCTTTGGTTATTATATTCTCTCAACAGAAAGGCTTCTTAAAGGGAGTGCGTGCAACTAGTTAGAGGTGGCTTCTAGTTCAAAGCCATTCGCCTAGCAGAGCCGCCTCACCAGCACGGCCCCGAACCTCGCTCTGAGGCCAGCTGAACTGGGCTCTGGTTTTACAGCAGTTTGAAAGTCAGCAATGTTGGGCGGGGTGACTGGCCAATTCTACCGAAACAGCGAAAAGTGCTTGCTCGGCGTGTTGAGTCTTCATTTTATACAGATACCTTCGAGCCTCCATCTCTTCTAAAATCTGTTGATCCTTTTCATCTAGAGCCAAGTTTCCATTTGCTGACGCGTCAGCGTTTCCTGTTAAATGACAAAGTTATCTTTGTACTACAGTATCAAAATAGTGAATCACAGAAGCTGTGGGTAGAGTGTGTGTGTAAGAACACGCGATGCACTAATTGCACATCTGTTATGCAATGAGTGTAAATGTCCATTGCCTGTCAGCGTTAGCGGTCATCACGCCTGCTGGCCTACACGCATGTCCTTGCGGCTGTGTGCCTTTCAGCACAGAGCAGGTTTCTCCTCTCGTTCTTTCGTTTCTTCTTTTCTAGTAATCTACACCCATTTCCTCCAGAGTCACACCAGAGATACTCACACCGCCAACATCTCACTCATACTGCGTGTGCTTCCTTCCTTTTAGCACGTCCATCTACTGTTCACCACTGACTAAATACGGAACTTAACAGTCACTTCACTCTTCCTTCTCACCCACACGGGATCTCCTTCCCCCTCAAGCTAGGATGCTACTGCGGCTGCAGTGTGGAGTGAGGATGTGGAACTGTCACTCACTCCCTACTCTGCTGGGACCCACCCGTCTGTCTGCACTGGCCTCCAACTACAGAGCTGGACTGTGGGAAAATGGTTTCCAACCACTCTGCTCTGTGTCGGGGGCTGTGAGGATGGTCTAGCACTCGAGAGCACCGATTGCTTTTCCAGACCGCAAGGGTTCCGTTCCAAGCACCCCCTCGGCAGCTTATAAGTGCCTGTAATGCCGGTCCCAGGGGATCTGACACCCTTTTGAACTCGGAACACTCCTATACACGTGTGATGCCCTTACACATACACAGATACCTAGAAAAATAAATACTTAAGAACAAATTCTGTCCCAAGTGCTTAAGTGACTGGAAATCACGTCGTTTAGTTTTTGACCTTATACAAGGTATGTTGAACAGGTTTAGGTGAAGGGTCAATGTGCAAATATAGAAAAGGCTTTTGTTTGTACTGGCTGGTTATATGACAACTTGACACAAATTAAGAGTCATCAGAGGGGAGGGAGCCTCAACTGAGAAAATGTCTCCATAAAATCTGGCTATAGAAAATCCTTTATGGTATTTTCTTAATTAGTGATTGACGTGGGAGGGCTACTCTGGGTCCATGGTCCCGGGTTCTATAAGAAAGCAGGCTGAGCCAGCCATGCAGAGCAGGCCAGTAAGCAGCATCCTCCACGGCCTCTGCATCCGCCGCTCCTGCATGCAGGTTCCTGACCTGAGTTCGTGCCTCATCTGCTGCTGGTGATGACTATGGAACTGTGAGGGAAATAAACCCTTAGCTCCCTAACTTGCTTCTGCTCACGGTGTTTCATCGCAGCAATGCGATCCTAACGAGGATAGCTGTTGCTTTTCTTTAAATTGTTTCTACCTTTTATGCTCCAGCTATCCTATGCAGTAACTGCAGCTCTGCCGCCACCAGCAGCCCCGAAGGACCAGAAGCCCCAGGGAATTCTGCTCCTTCAGGCACCAACTCTTCCAAAGCTACTACGGAAACTTACTTAGATCTCCATCCCACTGAAGAACTCAAAGGCTGCTTCCCAGAGAGGCTGAACAGGAATCAGCTCACCTAGCTCACCTCAAGTCTCCCAAGGACACACACACCCTCCGTATAAACCACAACCACGCCCTCCTTATAAACAAACCTTCTCCACCTGGCTCCTCCCTAGTTGCTGACCCAGCCTCCTGACCTCAGGTGAATTTTATTTAATCAAACACATCTTTGCGTAATTAAACAAATATTCCAGAGTATAAACAAAAGTAACACACCTTAAATTAATATTTTACAACAGATAGTATTTTTTTTAAATACAGAACTAAAAGTATTTTTATTCCCCAGATGGCAATCTAGCTTAGCAAATAATGAAACATAAAAGCACTAACGTGATAGCTTTTGCAAATAGGATGATTCACATTTTAACTCCTCTTGTCTCCGTTTCAAAAGTGCTTCGGATCGCTTAGAAAGCAAAGTGCATGTGGATGACTCTAGCTCCTCAATGCTGGCAATCTGAAACACATAAACCGGATTCTGCAGTTGTCAACGACTGATTATGCAAAGAGCAAACGGTATTATTTGTAATCACACATATACATTCAGTTCTTGAAAAAATTAATTCCAGTGTCAGTGCAAGTTACCACAGGTTGTGAAACCCAATGACACGGGGTCAGGACCACGTGCATGAGAGGCAAGTAAGAAGAGAGGAGAAACTGGGGGACTCGAAGAAGCTGGTAAAATCTGGGAGACAGGAATGGGGGCTGGGTTGTAACTCAGTGCTGGAGTGCTTGCCGGGCGTGTGTAAGGGCCCTGGTTTGAGCCCCGGCACCAGAATAAACTTCACAAAATGGGAGAGATACGCTAGGGAGAGAAAAGAGGACTTGGGTACAGAACTGTGACTACAAGACACTGACTCCCACTTCAGAGCAGCTGATTCATTCCAGTGTCTACAGCTGCTTCCAGGGGTGCAGGCTTTTAACAGTGTAATTAGAAAATTTAGACTAAAAAATACAACGGAAAGCAAGCATCAACTGTCAATTAACACAATACTTCATGGGCAGAACAGATATGGAAAGCTGAGTTTTTTTTTAACTATCTTTTTTCTTTTGAAGTTCTGTGGTTTCAATAACAGACCTTGTAAAAAGGTAATAGAGGATCCCAGCATCAGGACTGAGTGTGCACAAAACACAATATGTAAAGCGAAAGACTTAAAAACCTATAGCGTAAAAATTTAAAACAATATACAAGTATGAAAAAACCCCACAAGGAAAAAAAAAAACTGGTAAGTTTTATATCAAATTGGATAAGCATTACAAAGTTTAAATCAGGAGCTGGAGAGAGAGCTCAGTGGTTAAGAGCACTGGCTGCTCCTCCAAGGGCACCCACACGGCAGCTCACAGCCATCTGTAACTCCAGTTCCAGGGGATTCACACACCTGGGATCCCACAGCGCGGGAGGCTAAGGCAGAAGAAGGCTCACCGCAAGGGTGAGGCTATGGTCAGCCACACAGGGCTCCAAGTCAGCCCGACTTCAGGCTTGTTCACAACTGAAACTAATCCAGATAATAAAATGAAGGCCATTTTTCCCCGACAAAACAGACATTTTACACACTCCATTTTCACTAATCTAGTGAAGTAATAAATCACCATTCGTTGTGGAGAATCCTTTGGCAAAAGCTGTATAAGCCTGAGGACTACTTATACTCAGCAATGAATTTTATTTTCCAGTAAAGTGCCTTAGATGAAATGTTAACACAAAATGTATGTGATCCAGCCTTAATACGAGGGGATTGCACCATGACATGCCATCTTTGGTTGATATCTCTTCAAGGCCCGCCCTTTCCTGAAAGGAAATGGAGGAGTGGATCTGGGGGAGGGAGGGGGGAGGGAAGGGGGAGAGGGAGGGAAGCTGCAGTTGGGATGTGGTATATGATTTTAAAAATTAGACCCATAAAACTTTACATAACTTAAAACAGCAACTAAAAAACCAAAAACCAAATGAAAACAAAAAGCTCAAAACCCCAGAGCCAACTAACAGCCCATGTCTACCATTAACGAGAAATCGGCAATGCCATGTTAGAAATCTGTATGGGGGCATATTAACTGTAATGTCAGGACTCGGGAGGCTGAGGCAGGGTTGTAAGCCAAGGCCACCCTGGGCATTACAGTAGGAACCTGCTGAAATCCCACACCACCACGGGTCCTCAGACGCAGAGCTCAGGTCCTCATGCTTGACTAACACGTGGCCCAACCAAGCCCATCTCCCTAGCCCTGTTTCACTTTGTTAACTAAGGGAGAGTTGGCGATTCAGCCATACTTATATATACCTTTTCATTTAGACAGTCGACTATGTTTTCCACGTAAATTTTCATGCCTTTGTAGAATTTGTAGTTTAGAGCGTGATCCGATGTGTTCTCCAGGTTCTGGATTGCAGTCTTTGAACTCTTGATGTCTTGTACGTATTTTTCATATTCTCTCTGGTGCGAGCGATGAGATTCCTGTAGTAATGTTAATCTAAATAAAACAAAAGTTTCATTTTTCATACCTTTCCTTTTAGGAGGTATTCTAATGAAGACGTTTTCAAATACAACTAGGGAGCGTGATTACCAAACAAATGTGGGTTTACTAGGTGTGTGATGTGAGCCCAGGGAGATCACAATTCCCAACTCAAAGGGAAAGGCAAAAGAGAGAGAGAGAGAGAGAGAGAGAGAGAGAGGGGCACCTACCGGGCATTAGAAACAGGCTGACCATAGGATTTATTTGTAGATTTAGTTATTCCTTGAAATTAGGTCTCTTTAACTCAAATTGGCCTATATACCAAAAGGATGTCCTTGAACTCCTGATCCTCCTGCCCCCACATTACAGGCATGTGCCACCACGCCATTTATAGGCTAGTTTTAAGGTACAATGACTCCGTTTGAGGCTAAGATTGATCAGAACTTACAAACTGAAAGAGATACCACCAAGGCCAAGCAAAGGTTTTTAATGAAACAAGGAAGTCCACGTGTTCACTGTTATAGCAGCCTGTGGTCTTGCTGGAAGACGGAGTGAGCTGGCATTAACACCGTTTAAACATGTTATGGCTTGGTATATGATCTAACTGCTTGTGATTTCTGATGGAATTAGAATTTGCTGCTCCACAGTGTCCACTCCATTTGAGATGTGCCGCTCTGCTAAAGTAAGAACAGCTTACTCGTCCAGCCCTCGGGAGTACAACACACACCAATTCAAGGACCGCTTACTTCTAAGTTACCTATCACAGACAAAAGCCAACAGTAACACACGAAGTACATTTCTTTCCTGCTAACCTACTCCTTAGAACTTCTTCAGTCTTTGAGCTGTATGTACTGAAAAGACACACACTCTCTCTCTCTCTCATAAACACACACACACACACACACACACACACACACACACGAGCTAAAAATAACATACAGAAAATATCATTAATGAATGATTTGAAATAGAACATTATTAGTGATAGACTCAGTGTCTCTCATTCTATCCCTCTTCGATATAATCCCCCAAGAAACACCAGCTGGGTTCTGGCTTGTACACAATTCTTGATGCAGTAGCTTTGATTCTGCTGGGTTCTAACTAGGAAAGCTAATTAAGACACCAGTAAATGATAATGAGTGTACTTGAGAAATAATCCTGAATCTGTTGAAGTAATTTCATTCCTCATCACCACTGCAGAACACTCACTTAGAAGCTGGCCAGCTTTACTCTGTAGCGGGTCAGACAGTAAATATCTCAGCTTTTAGAGCTACGTAACTGTTCTTGCTGCTACTCAGCTCTGTGCTGTATCTCACCGAAGTACCCACAGGCAGTACTGAACATTCCAGCAGAGCTGTGTTCCAATACAATGTCATTTACCAACACAAGCAAGCTGGAGCCTGCTAACCCCCAGTATTCAGACACTAAGTGCTGTATGCCTTAAGATTTCACATGCTTATTTCATACTCCTACAGATTTTCTGTAAAAGTATCTTTAAACAAACAGCTGCAGCGGACAGATTCTGCAATGTGGCTAAGGAACCCAGTCACTTTAAAACTGATTTGAGAAAAATTTGAAGCTATTCAACAAGTACCCTGAGCCGGTGGCTCAGGAGTAATGCACAAGTCTGATGCCCTGAGTTCAATCTCCAGACCCCATGTAAAGATGGAAGAGAACAGACCCCTCAGAGCTACGCTCTGCCTCTGCCCATGTGCCATGCATGTGTGAGCACATATACTTTGAAAAGAAAAATGAAGATATTCTTTAAACAGTACCAAAACTGAATGTACATTCTGTACCATACTGTCACATAGGCTAATCAAACCTTGACCATCACATCTACTCTCTCTCTAGCAGACACTAGCTTCCAAGTATATTCTATAATAAAACATTCAGAACAAATAGTCTCTGACAGGACATGAGCAAAGCACAGCCATAAGGTTAGCACTATCTGCTCAGTGTAATAATTAATGCCCACAGTGCAATGAGAATTATGCTTTTGGAAGGTACTGTACCAGTAGTCATAAAAATAAGCTCTTGGCCGTGGTAAATTTCCCGTTAATGATTTTAAGAAAAAAAACCATATGCACACACACAGACAAAGCCAGATACAGGTGCACACACCTGTAATCCCAGCACTAGGGAGGTCAAGGCAGGAGGATCATGGTTGGAAGCCAGCCATGGCTACATAGTAACATCTAACATCTGAGGCTGGCCTGGGCTGCAGAGTAAGACCCTGTCTCAACAAACAAAATGCAACAAAGCAAAGAGACACATTCACCGATATAGCAACATATGGACATATGGACGAGACTTAGAACAGAGAAATAAATCAACGATGGGAACAAACATGAAATGTGTGCTGTAGGTGAGCATGCTGGTACACCGTGGATGAACATGGAGGATTATGTAACACAGGAACTCAGAGGACAGAAGTTCAAGGCCAGCTGGGCTACAGTCAAGGTCACGTCTCTAAAGACAACACAAAACAAAATGCGAAGAACCCAGCAGTGTAGAAAAAACGCCTATAGTCATATGAAATTAAAAACATTGTAATTACTGTTGTTAACCATGTAAGGATTACCTGTCATTAAGACTGACAAGACAAAGAAAATCTACTGCTTATATGGTAAAATAATTTTTTTCCTTATAAACCTGTTTAATATTAACGTTTAATAACTAAAAGAACATAGTGATTTTTTTTTTTTAACTATTAATCACTGAGGACAAATGCAAATTACAAAATAAGCATTACTCACCTATTATTTAACTGTTTCTTTATAATTTCCAGATTTACTGGTGGGAATGAAATGGAAGTGTCAAACTTCTTTGGTGTTTGAGAGTCACTGTTGTGGGAAAGGTCTATGTTTTGTCCCTAAAACAATGGGAAAAATTACTTATAACACGAAGGAGACTAAATAACATTTCCAAGCCTTTGGGATACCACGGTCACAACACAACATTAAAAAAAAAAATCTTTACCAATTTTAGAATATACTAATGCCTCTTTCTCCAGCTAAGAACTGTGGTAAATGGCTTATATCCCAGCACCCAGAAAATAAGAGGCCAGCCTTGTCTGTAGCGAGTCCCAGGGCAGCAAGGCTACATAGCGAGAGAGCATGTCTAAAGAAACAAACTCCCGGGCTGGAGAGATGGCTCAGAGGTTAAGAGCACTGACTGTTCTTCCAGAGGTCCTGAGTTCAATTCCCAGCAACCACATGGTGGCCCACAGTCATCTGTAATGAGATCTGGTGCCCTCTGCTGGAATGCAGACACACATGCGTACAGAATACTGTATACATAATAAATAAATAAATCTTTAAAAAAAAAAAAAGAAAAAAGAAACAAACTCCCAAACCAAAACCAAACAAATGAAACCAACCAATCCCGGCCTCCCAATCCACCCCTGCCTTTGCAGTACTGAGAATTCAACTGAGCGCCTGATGTATGCTAGGCAAGTACACTACCACTGAGCTACAGTTCCAGCCCCAAGTCTACTAAATTCACATGTACAAAACGAATTGTAAAATTTGGACTTCCACAAAAGTTAGTTTATGAGGTATCGAGCTAGTTTTGCTGATTTTCTGATGCATTCTCAGGAACTCGGGCAGTTCTTGAAGAAACATGAGTAAGTAAAGCCATGCCTGTTTGGGATAGGCAACCTGCAGAGAACACATTCCTAAAAGAGTATCTTATGGCGCTTATCCTTAGTCTTTCTGGCGACCCTAGCTCATCGCTACCACACCAAGCAAAGGTGCAGAGCAGGCTTGGGGAGGCAGAGCAGGCTTGGGGAGGCATGGGAAGGCAGAGCAGGCTTGGGGAGGCAGAGGCAAGGACTGCTGTTCTGTGGTCGCGGCTCCAAGAACACCCAGAGCGCCCAGAACTGGGAAAAGCAGCTCCTCTTACCTAGGGCCTCCAGAGAGGAAGCAAAGTCCTGACAACTGACAGGATCCACGCTGTGAGAGATCAAGTGGATTTCTGGCCAGCAAGATGGCTGGGCAGAAAAGCTGTGCATGGAGACCTGAGTCTGACCTCCAGAACTCACGTCTTTGGAAAGACAACCAACTCTACAAAGTTATCCCCGACTATCACGCATACACTGTGGCGTGAGGGCCCACCCGTACTTTTTAGAAGTTATTGTCACTGTGTTGTGGTGATGTGTTATATATAGCGCCCTCAAGATGCTACCACACAGACAGAGACAGTTACTTACCTCTATGATCTTGACTGCTTTTCTCATTTGCTGCTGTTCCCACATGTCCTGACTTTCATCTTCCTGACTTTCTTCTTCGCTCGCTTCTGCATTTCTGACTGCTGCACAACAAAAAGTCAACACGTTAACACTCAGTGTTTTCCCATTAGGACAACAGTACTCAGATTTGGGGGGTTACTTTCTCCAGGCCTAGTAGCAATTATTCACATGCAGTTTCTTCTTCCTAATAATCCAGCACTGGGGAGCCAGTATTACCGTCATCTTAAAAAACGAGGCCACTACTCAGGGCTCAGTAACTGGTTGAAGCGCTGTCTCGAAATGAGAACTCAAATGCAGCCATTGGGCCCAGGGCCGGCATGCGCATCGCCAGCCGCAAAGGGCTGGGGAGAACAAAAGGTTTTAAAAATATCTCCTCTGGGCCACTGACAACCCTGAAGAACCCACACGTAGGAGAGAATCGACTCCCACAAGTTGTCCTCTGAACTCCATACTTATTCCGTGACACCCATGTGCCCATACTCTCACCCACAACACAAAATGAGACATCAGGCTCAGTGACCTGAGTTCAGTCCTGAGACCCCGTACCAAAGCTTCATGCACGCTAGGCAAGCTGAGCTGCATCCCCATCTCCGACAGCAAGCGTGGTCACGAGCAAACAGAAATTTCACTACAGTAAAGGAAATGCCTTGATCTCATATGGCCGTAAATAAATTACACACATACATGTTTCTTCGGCCATTCTTTGTCTGAGTGTTTGAGGCTTCGGGGCAAACAGTATTCTCTTCTCACAGTCATCGGGGTCACTCTCTGTGTCCTCCTCATGTGTCTTCTTCCTGTCACTAGTGCCGGAGGGGTGGTGTACGTCCAGTGAAATGTAGTCGCCCGGGGTCCTGGCCGACGCGCGTTTTCTGCGGGCGTCCTGGATAAAAGCCGAGTCAGGGACCTTAACTGAAACAGATGGAGAGGGCAGTGAATACCAAACAGCTACCGCGCGGGCGCTCCTTGCACTCAAGGCGAGAAAAAGAAGGCACCCCGTTCCGGAATTTTCCACCGCTTAGATGGATTCACAGGCCTGCAATAGAAGTCTAGTCAGTAAGGGAAGAAAATTAATATAATAGGCATAAAATGCACACCAGAGAAATGAACCTAATCTATCAGGAAATACACGCGCGAACTTCCCAGGGGTCTGTGTCAGGACAGGAAGTGGAGGAGCTGAGCACAGTCAGACCGTACTGAGACAGGCGGTTAGCGCCAGAGGCACAGCGGCCTGACTTAGAGAAGACACCGGGGCCCCAGCTACACACACACACACACACACACACACACACACACACACACACACAGAAGGGAGAAACAGTACCAACACACAGCCACGCCACGCCACATCAAGGTTTTCGTAGTGAGACCCACATGAAAGAAACTAAATGTAAAGAAAACACACTTTCCACTAGATAAACGAAACTACTCAGATAACAGCTTTTGTTGTTTTTAAACATTTTCGTTTTGCTTTAGAGATTTTTTTTTTTATTTTATATATATGAATCTTTACCTGCATGTGTGTCTGTGCACACGTGTGTACCTGGTGCCCATGGAGGCCACAGGGGGGTCATCATATGCCCTGGAACTGGAGTTACAGACAGCTGTGAGCTACTTCCCTGGGTGGGAACTGAACCCAGATCCTTTGGAAGAGCAGCCAGTGCTCTTAACGGCTGAGCCCTCTCTTATGCCCCGTAAATGACAACTTTAATGCAACTTTATTTTTTCTTTTATTTCTATGTCTAAGTATATATTCACTGACATGAATTCCTGTAATTTAGGAACAGAGGTTTCTTTGTGCATGAAGTTTACCTTTATACTTTATAAAAAATGTTTCCTTAGGAAAACCCACCATAAATAAGATGGCACGAGAAATTTCTAAAGCATCTGAAAACAATAGACACTGTAAGTTCCATGTCCTCCAGGCAGCCGCTATGTAGGCAAGAACGACTCTGAGCTCCTATCCTCCTGCTTTCCTTCTTCCCACTTCCAAATGCTGGGGTTACAGGCATGGACCACCATGACCAGCTTTTGTGATGCCGAGGATCCAAATACGGAGCTTCATACACGCTAGGCACGCACTCTACCAACTCAGCCACCCTGACCTCATCTGCCTGAGAAACAGATACAACACGTGTATCAGGCAAAGAGAAGACATAACTGTGAAGGCTCTAGTGGATAGAACACAAGAGAGAAAGTGAGAGACAGCAGAAGTCTCAGCCATTACACAACAGGCTCAGCGGTGGCAGCCATAAGGGGGAAAGAGAGAAGACTCAGGTAAGCTGTGCTCTGACCTGTACATCCTCAGAATAAATGAATAGTAAATAAATGTCAGAAAGAGGAAGAGGAGGAGAGGCATAGAAGAGATGGCTTAGCAGTTAAAAGTACTTGATGCAGGAGGACCCTAAGAGAGACAAACATGGTCCCCTGGAGAAGGGGAAGGGACAAGGTCTCCCAAGCAAATTGGGAGCATGGGGGGAGGGAAGAGGGAGTTAGGAGGAAGAGGAGGGGAAAGGAGGGCATAAGGGAGAAGGAAAATTGAGCCAGGGAAAGAATAGAGGAGAGCAAGAAAAGAGATACCTAAATAGAGGGAGTCATTATAGGCTTAAAGAGAAATCTGGCACTAGGGAAATGTCCAGAGATCTACAAGGATGGCCCCAACTAACAATCTAAGCGATATATATCTTATATACCACCCTAGAGCCTTCATCCAGTAGCCCACAGCTAAACACTGAGCCAAACTCCTGGAATCCAGTTGCAGAGAGGGAGGAGTAATGGGCAACAATAAGAATCACTTGGGTACAAAGTACTGACACTAGAGCTGGGCATGGTGGTACATCATATTCTCAGGAGGGAGACCGTGAGTTTGAGGCCAGCCTAAGCTCCAGAATGAATTGCAGACCAGCCTGGGTACAAAGTGAGACCCTGTCTCAAAAAAGGGAGGAAGTTAAGTTAGTTATGTAAAATACAAAGATTACCAACCTATGGGTGAAACTTCTTTGTCTTCCAGAGAACTAGAGCTTTCGGAGCCTGGACTCTGATCACCCTTACTTTCCGAGGAGGGATGTGTTTCTTCCTCTTCATCCGTTGAGAGATCAGCTGTTCCAGATTCTAAGATGACACCTTTATAATCGAGAAAAGTCAAAATATTTGAACCAATAGCCAAAATAAACATATACAATTCATAAGACTCCCTCTTATTTCAATACTGTATGGAGCTCAGAAAGGACTGGAACAAATAAAGGTTTTAAAGGGCAGGCAGGAGGCAGAGCAGAGCTCAAGGACACACACATACTGTCCTCTCAGAAGCCAAGTTTGGTTCCCAGCACCTGGGTCAGGCAGCTAACAACTCCCATATTCCAGGAGGGGGAAAAAGCCAGTTTCATTCACACTGGTTGACGAAACAATGAAAATGATTAATTTTATTACGTCTTGAACTGAATACACATCTTCTTTAGGATAGAGGTAACAAAACCCACAAAATCTCTTCGGAACCTCTATTTTTATGAGTTACAAAGAAAGTCCAAAGGCAAAATAAGTTTGAAAATCACTGTTCTAGATGGGAAGTAACGGTGAGTCTGAGCTTCAGTACTCAAGGTGAAGCAGATGACTGACATACTTTAAGTCGCCAATACAAACGATCATTCAAACTCTAGATGAACAGAGGAGAGAGCCCCTACAGTGGCCAAAAAAAAAAAAAAATCCACCAAGATCCTGAACCTTGAAGACATTATTTTACGTGAGATAAGCGAGTATTCATTCAGATGTAGAATCGGAACAAACTGGAGGGACTCAGAGAGACAGAGCAGAATGGTGGTTAATATCGGCTGGTCGTGGAGATATGTTGGCAAAGGTTACAAAATTCTACAAGAGTAAGTTTACGGTATCTAAGTTTAGGGTATCTATTGTACAACAGAGATGTTAGTAGGTATCAGTGTGTTTTGCTGTATGCTCTACTTGGAAATGGCTGAAGGATTTTATGTGTTCCCACCATGAAATAAAATTAGATCTGTGTAAACAACCCAAGGTATTTCAAATCATCTTGTGCACCATTAAGTATACCCAACTTTCATTTACAAGTAAGCATTTGGTTGGGAGAAAAGCCAGGACTTGAGGACTGATGAAGTATGAGTGTTCTGCTTGCATGCATGCATGTATGTATGTACTTATGCTCGTATACATGGTATGTGCATCTGGCCCGACAAGGTCAAAGAGGGTTCCCAACCTAGAGCTACAGACCACTCTGAGCCTCTATGTGGGGATGCTGGACACTGAACTTAGTTCCTCTAGAAGAACAGTGCTCCTAACCGCTGAGCGACCTCTGTAGTCCAAGAGACTTTGCATTTGATGACATGAACGGAACAGTCCATAGTGTCACCAATCTCAGCCACAACACATCGTTTTACATTATTTGTGTCCACTTTTTGTCGTTACTGACGATAACTGATCTTTAAAAGGACTGTTAGGGTATAAGCTTCACCCCAGCCCCAGGCATCCACACACCCAGAGTCTGGAATGGGAATGTTATGGCGGAGGAGGTTCCACCCAAGGTCCTCTCCCCCACCTCCCTGCAAACCCTACTGCATCTCAGAAAGCCCGCCAAACGATGGCCCTTCCCCCAGAGATAGTCAAGACCACTCCCACAGGGTATTAACTGTCCCCCAGAGAACACACTCCTGGTCCTTACTGTCTCCCAACTCCTCTCTGGGAGCTCTGTACCCATTCAACGTTTTTTTTTCTTTTTCCCCTAATTCGGTTTGGTCTGATTTGGATTGCCGCGTGGGCAGAGAGGCTTATCCGGGTGTAGAAACTTTTTCCAATGACAGAGTTCCGAACTCTTACTCTTTAAGTAAATCGTCGGGTGTCCTTGGAAAACCGCTAAGAAATTTCCAAAAGGCACGTCTAACTTTCGGCTACTTTTACCAGCACCGGGAGTAGCTGGGCCCCTCTCTGAGGACCCAGGTGTGGGTCGCCTGCGCATGCAAACTGCGACGTGCCAGCAAAACCTACGGGGCCTGCCAGCGCCCGGGCAGCACCGGGAGCCCTCCCCGGCCCTGGGTCACCTGCGCCGCGGCCGCTGCGGGGAGCAGATCCCGGGCTGCGGCGGGAACTCGCCCACACCCGACCTCGGCCCCGGGAGCCACGGGCCCTGCGCGGCGGCTCCGCTCGCTCTGCTCTGCCGCCTGCCCCCGCCGGCACCGCGCCGGGCTGCTCCTCCAAGCCCGCGCCCTCGCCGTCGCCCTCGCTGTCGCTGGGCTCAACCTGGCGCCGCCTGAAAGTCCTCGGCGGCCGGAGCGCCATGGCACAAGCGGGACCGCGCGCGCACGGGTCCGCCCCGCGCGCCTGCGCCTGCGTCAGGCCCCGCCCTGGGGGGGGGGTAGCGCTGCGCACGCGCGGTAGCCAGAGTTCCGGCCCGTGCTGCGCAGCCGGTGACAGCCTTCTGATGAGCATGGAGAAGATTAATAATAATAATGATTATAATTATATATGTATTGCCATATATATAATATATACTGTCCCAGACAAGCTTGCAGCTTCCATGGCTGAGGTCTGGGAGAGGAGGACGTGCACATCCTGCCCAGAACCTATACTTCACAAAATTCTAAAATACAATAGAAATAGACAATTTTCTGAATAGATATCAGTTACCAAAATTAAATCAAGAACATATAACCAATTTAAATAGACCTATAACCCGTAATGAAACTGAAGCAGTCATCAAAAGTCTCCCAACCAAAAAAAAAAAAAAAGTTCAGTGTCAGATGGTTTCAGTGCAGAATTCTACCAGTAATTCAAAGAAGAGCTAATACCAATACTCCTCAAATTGTTCCACACAATAGAAGCAGAATGATCATTTCCAAAATCTTCTTACAAGGCTACACAGTTCCCTTAGTACCTAAGCCACACAAAGACACAACAGAAATAACTACAGACCAATATCCCTCATGAACATCGATGCGAAAATACTCAGTGAAACACTGGCAAATCAAATCCAAGAACACATCAGAGAACTCATCATCATGACCAAGTGGGCTTCATCCCAAGGATGCAGGGATGGTTCAACATACAAAAATCTATCAATGTGATCCACCATGTAAACAAACTGAAAAAGAAAACCTCATGATCATCTCACTAAATGCTGAAAAAGCCTTCGACAAATTCCAACACCCCTTCGTGATAAAGGGCTTGGAGACATCGGGGATAACGGGAACATATGTAAACATAATAAAAGCAATACACAGCAAACCAGGAGCCAACACTAAACTAAATGGAGAGAAACTCAATGTGATTCCTCTAAAATCAGGAATAAGACAAGGCTGCCCACTTTCTTCATATCTCTTCGATGTTGTACTTGAAGTTCTAGCTAGAACAGTGAGACACAAAAGGAGATCAAGGGGATACAAATTGGAAAGGAAGGAGTCAAACTTTCACTATTTGCAGATGATATGATAGTTTACATAAGTGACCCAGAAAAACTCTACCCGGGAACTCCTACAGCTGATAAACACCTTCAGCAAAGTGTCAGGATACAAGATTAACTAAAAAAAAAAAAAAAAGTCAGTAGCCCTACTATATACAGATGATAAATGGGCTGAGAAAGAAATCAGAGAAACATCACCTTTTACAATAGCCACAACAACATAAAATATCTTTGGGTAACACTCACCAAACAAGTGAAAGACCTATATAATAAAAACTTCGAGCGTTTAAAGAAAGAAATTATAGAAGATACCAGAAAATGATAATCTCCTATAAAGTCAAAATTTAAAAAAAAATGGTTGCATACTTCCAACACATATGCGCATGACATACATTGCCATTCCAAAATGGAGAAAGGGAAGAGAGTGGGGAAATCCAGATGAAATTATGACCAAACCCCAGCTGAACAAACCCCCTACTCTGCTCCCATAAGTCTGGTATCAAAGCACTGTAGATCTGTAGATCTCCAACCCCTTTCCCCTTTGTTGATCGCAACATAGTTCTCTCTGTTGGGCTGGTTCCCCTCCGTGTTAGCAGCTCTCCTCCCCAGATGTCTCACAGCTCTGGCATCTCCAACATTTTAGGGGTCTCCGAGGCAATCTAGACTTCAGCAATACAGTTTCACACAACTGCCTCCCTAGGCCTCCATGCAGGCACACTCCTGACTTAACTTTTAAAGCCAGAACCATGTGGCTGAAGCTTCCAAGTGCAGCTGCTTACAGGGGCAGGAATGTGTCCTCCTCATTCAACTACATCTTCACCACCCTCCTGTTTTAGACAGGTTCTTTCCTTCACTGTCTGAGCTTGGCTGCCCTGTCCTCCAGCTCAGAGATCAGCCAGCCTCTTTCCGCAGAGTGCTGGGATTAAAGGCATGTACAGCCACCGCCACCGCCGCCGCCACCAGCACCACACCTGGACCTAAATTTTTCTTTAATTCCTTTTCACACGTTGGAAGCTTAGCTGGGTGGGGTCTTGCCCCGAGGCCACCACTCCCCTTATTCCATTTCTTTATCTGTTTATCTCCTTGAACACAAGATTTACTCCGCTATACTTGCTCGTGCCCCCTTTCTATTCCATCTGAAAATTTTGTATTTTCTTGTCAGGCTCCCTCCTTTTCATTATAAATCTCCATGAGAATTGAGCAATAGTCACCACATGACAGAGTCTATACCAGTCTGTTTTGAGATTTCCTTTCCCAGTTCCATTAATCCTGAACTCTTAACTTTAGCCTCAGGCAGACTTTTTGGACAAGGACAAAAGGCAACCACATTCTTCACAAAAGCATCACAAGAATGATCTTTAGGCGACACACTGAAATTCCTCTCCTTGGAAACCTCTTGAGCCAGATTCCCATAGTTCAAATCTCCCTTGGTCCCAGTGCCTTTCGTGTTCCTACAGTCTGTCTCTTAAAGCATTCTACTGCTTGCCTAACCCAAAGTCCCTGCTACATGGTGAGACTATCCTAGCAACGTCCCCAGTACCAGCTTCTGTCTTAGGGTTTCTATTGCTGTGAAGAGACACATATTATTTGGGGTTGGCTTGCAGTTTCAGAGGCCTAGTTAATTACCATCATGGTGGAAAACATAGTGACTGGCAGGCAGACATGGTGCTGGAGAAGGAGCCGAGAGCTGTACATCTTGGTCCTTAAGAAGCAGAAGGAGAGACTGTATCACTTTGGGCATAAATGGAGCAATATGAGATCTCAAAGCCCTCCCCCACACTGACACACGCCCTCCAACAAGGCCATACCTCCTAGTGCCACTCCTTATGGGCCAAACATTCAAAAGCTCAAGTTTATGAGGGCCATGCCTCTTGAAACCACCACTATGACCTTGACCCAAGTAAGTCCTGTAATTGGGAGTGTAGAATTTGTTTAGAGTGTTTGATGTCTGAGGACACCTGGACAGTTAATGAATTTAGGGGAGCCAGCTGCCAGTGGACTTTTGGCAATCGCCTGGGCAGAGGAAAGGTAGGAATGTGAGAAGGATGAGGTTCGTGGGGAATGGGTGATGGTTTAGGAACTAGAGGGTGAGGATGAATACTGACAATGGAGAGGTCAGTCTGATGTGCCATCCATATAAAGCTGTCATCTTATAAAAAGTGTAGGCAGAGATAGCTAGAAGACCCTCTCTTGTACGAGAAGGATGGGAGAAGTGGTCCTTGAGAGTTTCTGGACGGGAGTGTAGGTCTGGGGAATATCGCGGCAAAGGGGAAGTATGGTGGGGTTGAGGTTGAGGACAAGTAAGGCATGTGAATGTTGTTGTTGTTGTTGTTTGATAGATATTTAGAGAGGTAAAAGCCGAGATGGTAGAAGAGACCATGGAATCTTTTATACCTTAGGACTTGGGGGAGAGAGTAGTGGGGGTAGATTGGGAGAGGGGACCCCAGAGTTGGTTTATTTAGCGATGAGCAGAGAAGCTACAGCAAGAGTGTGTAGACAGGAAGGTCAGTATGGATGGTATTATACAGAGGTTTGGGGATGTAAGCCACAGGAGAAAAGGCCAGTCTTAGGATGTGTTTATGTGTTGTTGAAATTTAAGGATGGAAAGGTTTGTATAGATCTGGGAGGCAGAGAGCTGCAGCCGAAAGGAGAATGTTTTAAGTTTCAGGAATCATTTGGGGACTGGAGGAAGGAGGAGGTCTATCTAAGACCAGTTTGGTATAGAGGATGTATTAGGATTGAGTAACCAGGGACCCATGAGTGGAGAAATTGGTCATGAGGGCAGAGGTAGGGACAGAGGTGGACACGGTGGTTTAAGGTGTTTGTGGGTTGGCATGAGAGAGAGAATTTAATTTAGGTGACCTGTAGAGAGAGGAGTTGAGCTTTGGAAGGTGAGATCTGGTACCCTTAGGAGCTGAGGAAATTGAGGAGTGAGGCAATGTCAGATTGGCTACCAGAGAGGGAGGGGCTGTAAAGGAGGAGGTCATCTGTGTGCTGAAGTAGGTGGAAGAGAAAAGGGGAGTAGGGAGGCCATGTTCATAGGAGTGACTGACCTATACGGTTGGGACTGTCTCTGAATCCCTGGGAAAGGATATTCCAGGTGAGCTGTTAGGATTGTTGAGTGTCAGTATCAGGATCTGTCTACGTGAAGGCAAAAAGATCTTGGGAGTGGACATCCAGGAGTATTGAGAAGAATGTGTCTTTAAGATTTAGGACTGTTTTGTCTGCCATTTAGAATAAGATTTTCTGCCTTCTTGGCACCTGGGGGCTGCGACAGGATGGAGCATCATTCCTGGGTGTGACCATGAGGTTTTCTAAGGAGAGTTGTGTGTAGATGCTCTGACCCAGTGGGCAAGATCCACTTTGAACATAGGTGGGCACCATGCAGCAGGTGGGGGCTGCCCAGAGCAAACGGGAGAGGAAGGGAGACCCCCCCCCACAGTCATACTTTTCCTCTGTCTAAGGACTGAGCCAAGCTACCAGTATCCCAAAGCTTGCATCTTGTAGAAAGCCTGTCGTGGGAAGGTTTTGCCAGGCAGGCCAGTCCCTTAAGAGCTGTGAGGTCATGAAAAGCTTCACTTGGATTTCAGAGTGTTGCAGAGACTTGTCTCGAGAGCAGACTAGCTCAGAGTGTCCCTACAGCAATGAGGGCAGTCAGTGGACTGAGCTCCGCAGAGCCATAGTGACAGTTCTGGACTGAGCTGGGGCCACTAGCCCCTTTCCTGCTGACCTCTGCCTTCTGAAAAGGAACTGAGTACCTAACTCCCAAACCTCCATTGCATTTTGCAAGTGTGTGGATTGCTGAGTGCACAGGATCAAGGCTGGACAAGGCTGGCTGTCCCAGCTGAGTACTGCAGTTTGATTTGAAGCTTTCTCTCCT